ACGACAGAGTTCCATCGTTCGTTCGCGTTTTGGGTCAGGCACTCGCTCGGGAAATTCCGCCGAAACCGGGCAAGCAGCTCTCGCATGCTACTATAATAGCCGCTGCTCCTCCCACGGTTGACGTACCAAGTGATTGAACACCTGGAAGTGGACTTTCATGTCGAGGACGGTGACCATGTCCCGACAGCTGGTAGCAGTAACGTGCGACCGTGCGAACGTGGCGCCCTGGATTGCCAGCCAACACAAACCGTGCCTTCTTCGCTTTGTTGTTTTTTCTTCGGAAAGGGACAGTGTTTGGAGTGTGCTCTTGCACTGCTTGCGAACCGAGAAGGGCTCACGGGAGCCTCTTTTGCCACCTGTTCTCATACAAAGCCTGGATGACGCTTGATGCCATGGGGACGTGCTTGAAAAGCCACGTGGAGCTCCAAAAGCCTCGGATGAACCTGCTGAGACCACCCACGAACCTGCGAGTCCCATCGATCAGTTATCCCCATCACCACCTACTCTGATGGTGAATGGTCATTCAGGAGGTACACGGTGACGCACGGTGCACACGGTGATCCTCGTCACCGTCATAGTTCCTCTCGAGAGAAATCGGCAAGACGCCGAGGAAACGGCTTTTTGTGCAGGTAGACGACAAGTCCCTACACATGTCTATTATAGTCATGCCTGGGACATGGCTCAATTGCTTCGGCATGCTCCACATGGTGGGCTTCTTTGTAGAGCAAAAGCGACACTTCTTAGAATCATCATGGAAGTCGATGGTCACCCAGAACCTCAATTCCCTGCCTGAGGACCTCTGCCTGCAAGAAGGGAGTCTGTTCCATGCTTTTCCCAGGCTCACGAGGCTCACCTTCCTTCTCCCGGACCACCCCCCCCTCGTCGGCGAGAAGCTCGCCCGGAGTCGGCGAAGGCCAGTGCTCACCTTCTCTCGTCGCGAAGGCCAGCTCCAAAGGTGTGCAACTGGACCGTCATGACGAGCTCAAGACTCAGAAGATGGCAGAAGATAGCAGCGAGGAAGGAGGTTAGAAGCGACTGTATGTCTTGGAAGAAGAATGGCAGAAGCGTCATGGAATACGCTGCGACAGCAGAGAGAGGCGGCGGCTGAAGCGAAGATCTTTGGGGGTTTGCCGAGGCACTGGCCGTCGGTAAGTCGTGCGATTGTCACTCTCCAGCATGGCATATAGCGTTCTTCGAAGGCCTTTCCGGACCGACTGTCCGGACCGATACAGTCTGTGAAACGTCATGCAATCTCTATCCCCTTCAGCCCATCACATTCCTGGTTGGTCAGCCCTTCCCCATGGGATAGAAGATGAGGCTTACCAACCAGGAGTTCCATGTAGAGGAGGGAGGAGGGATCGGAGGCCAGACAGGTGGAGCCGTGGCCATCGGCCCCCCAGAACACCGTTCGGTTGGGGGTGGAGGAGCGTGAGCGTGCGGTGCTGCGCCCCGACGTCGTCCACTGACGTCACGGTCTACACCAGCAAAACCTCTGTGACTCGCAGGGATCAGTTGACCTACAGAGGTCAAGTGACCTGAAAAGGACTCTACTATAGGCTACCGGGATAGCCTATAGGGTTCTTCAACGGACCTCCATCTCACCAGGCCGCGGCCATCGGCGCCTTCGGCGCTGCCGAAAAGGACCAGGAAAGCGTCGCGCAGCGGGCAGACCGGGTCCTCAGGGGTCCTCAGGGAGCAGGGAAGTGTGGTTCTAGGTGATGGCAGCGATGGCTTTCAGCGGTTTCGGTACGACACACCAATCACGACTGGAGTCACCGCGACGCAGGTGTTCGCTATTAAACAACAATGGCGCAGTGGTTTCAGAGGTTCGATGGCGCAGACCTCACGGACCGTCCTCAAGATGTGGCAGTTCATTTTAAACCACCGACATTGGGGTCTGTGCCATTGGCCCTCTCAATCCACACTCCCACCAGAATCATCGTATGGAACTGGATATGGCATGGCCCCTTTCGTTCGGATGACGATTGTTTGAATCCTACCACCAAACAGGATTGTGTGTTTTGCTTTTCATGTGGAGGACCTCATAAACAGTGCTTTCAGTTGTGCAAAGCTAGCTGCAACCCACCACGGTGATGTGGGTTGCTTGGAGTGTTTTTAGGGACTGTAGCCGTCTCGTGGAAACCATGTCATGAAGTCAACAGACCTATAGCTTAGCTGGGTGGTGGTTTCAGATATTGTTATGTTCAACCTTTAACCTAGGGTGATGTGAACCCACTGACTGATGTTTTTCATGTGTTTTTCCAAGTGACTTGAAACCACCAACCAGAGGTTCCACCATTACTTATATATTTAGCTTTCTAGTTTCCTTTACTTCGCCGGCAGTGTGCATCACTGCACCGCTTGCTGCTGTTAGGTCGACCGTTAGATGAACATCCGGATGCCACATGCAAACATTCATATATAATACTATGTTTGGCACTTTGGAAGAGTGGGATATGGTAGGGTAGCTACCTAATTAATGTTACAAAATATCCTAAAACTATCTCAAGTGGACAATGTGTCGAATAAGATAATGAGAGAACCTCCAATTCCACCAGTTCAGCCAAGAGCCTTTCTATGCTCCAAAAGACCATTCCACCTACCCCTGCTGGAGCTAGCCCCGCATGCGGACCTCATAGAGATCTTGGGTGATCGGCTTTGCACTGGTCACGCCGGTCACTTCGGCTCCTTCACCCATGACGGGATTCAAAAGGAACGCGATTGACTAACGTGAGGTGCGAGCTTTACAACTGGAGCGCTATTTGGCATGATCAAACCAGTGAATGCCGCCTCAGTGAAAAGAGACTTGTCAGCTGCAGAGAGCGGCATGATCCTTGGAAAAATCCTTGGCTTAGTCCTGAAGGACCGAAATCCAGAGCGAGGAACTGAAGACGAGACTGGCGGCGTTCTCGATCATAGATGGCAATGAGGACGACTTGTCGGACCTTTTCGAGTCCCAGGTGACCGGAACTGACCCGGAGAGCAGGGCTCCGAACAATGATGGAGGTCGCCCCGAAGATAAAGATCTCTATGAGCGGGATGCGGATTCCGCGAAGCGACTCATGACCTATGTAGACTATGCAGACGCGATGCGGTTTTTTACGGATCGGGTGCTGAGGACCACGGAGTCCGCGAAGTCTGCCTGGCTCTACTCGGTGGAGAGAGATATTTCAGGTAAGACGCCTGAGGAAACCGTGTCATTACGTGGAAACGTCGCCGCTGCCTTCGCCGGGACGACGCTGCCACTCGTGCCAATCCACTTTCCACTGCATCAAACAAAGGGCGAATCGAGGCATTCCTCCCAGAAGCGAACACATCATCTGGTGATGCGGTGAAATCGATTTTTACCTGTTGGGTGTCCCCTGCGGGCATGGATGCCCTCGCTCTGATCGTCGATCTCTACTGTCCTGGAGACACCATGAGGATGGGCTGCGGCTGCGATTTCAGGCAAGTCTCGGGTTCTTTTTTCTGCGATGACTACATTACGATGACGCCCAGAGGCCTTGCGGATGCGGAGACAGCCCGAATGCACTAAGCAGCCCCCCAAGTTATCATAGTTATAACTTTAGTTATAGCACTTACTGAAGTTAAAAATAAGTTATAAGTAAGTTATATGAAAGAAAGTGTAAGTAAGTTATAAGAAAGTTGTAGAAGTTATTAAGTTGCTTAAGTTGTTTGCGTTGCCAAAAATCAGGGCAGACAACCGCCGAGCCAAAAACACAGAAAACACAAGTGTTTTCAAATTCTGGGCAGACAACCGCCACAAGTCCACAGCCAGTCGCACTTTTACAGCAGACACACGACTTTGTCATCTTCGTGGCACCACCACGCTGGCCGCCAGACATTGCTGCAACCGATTGGATTCAGCTGTCATCCCCGAACCGCACTTGCAACATGTGGGGCTGCCATCAGATTCAGGCTCATGTCCGACAGCCTGGGTGTCAGCTTCGGTTGCCACCACCTGCGTTGTGTCTTCCATGATTCAAACTGCGCAAGAAAACTTTTTTTGAGCCCTCAAGTGTCTGCCATAGAAAAAAAACTTGGTGGTAAGGACGTATAAGGAGACACACGGGGATACACCAGGATACATTGGGATACACGTGTATCCCAATGTATCCCTGTTTTTGCTGGTGAGGAGATACACCGGGATACATTGGGATACACGTGTATCCCAATGTATCCCGGTGTATCCTGGTGAGGGGATACACCGGGATACACCGGGATACACGTGTATCCCAATGTATCCCTGTGTATCTCTCTGTATCCTGCGCCTTCCGTTTCTATCGCCAAAAAGATGATCGGTATGTCTGCACACAAAAAGTTTTCTTTCCATACAAGATTGCATTTCTGGGCAGAACAACCGCCAAAGGTTAAATAATTGCATTGCGTTCTTTTTCGGAATGCAAGCTCTGGAGATCGGAACCTGTCCCAGCACTTTGCTTCCACATAGCATGGGAAAAGTTCCCACTGCTGCATCTAAGAGCGTGCCATGGCTTGCAAGGACGTGCCCCTTTGCCGCGCGTCCCTCTGAACAACAACAATTAAAAAATGTCACATGTGCATCATGGTGCATCTCACACAGCCTGGGCAGACAACCGCCAAAAGAATCAACGAATCCTGCACAATGTGAGCGCTTATTAACTTTGTTGGTGAATATACTGTTTTTTGCACAGAACTTACAAATCATCAAAAAAACAAACATAAAAAATAACTTCCGTAACTTGTTTCTAAGTTCTGCAAGCTTCAACATAGCATGTGTCATAACTATGTTATAAATTTCACATGTTTTAGAACTTACTCATATTTGTGTTATAACTTCCAAGGAACTTATCGAACTTAGCATAGGTTATAACATATGTTATCCCTAGTTATAACCTATGTTGAGGAAGTTTTTAACTTCTTTAACTTGGGGGGGCTGCTCAGTGTGGGGAGGCGTTTGCACATGACGCCGAATCATTGGAGTATGTCCAGATGACACTCCTTCGATCACAGCGAGGGTTATGGTTCCGAGCCTGGATGCCCTCAGTGCAGAGGAGCAAAATGGTAAGTTCGAATTCAAGAGCCCGCTGATTCGTGCATCGCATATCCCGAGGGGGATCATTGCTGGAGCAAGCGTCGGAAACCAACCGATGAAAGATTTCATCGACGTGGCATCAATGGGGTATGCAGGATTGTTCGAGTGAACAGCAGCTTAGCCGAGAATTCGAGGCCCGGGTAGCGCAGCAGTTCCCATGTTTCACCATGTCTCACCCCTTACGTACAGAGCGAAACTCTGCAGGTTCTTGCTTGTTGTTTTTTTTGTTTGGTGTTTTGTTTTGGTTTTGGTTTGGTTTGTTGTGTTTGTGGTCTTTCCCCCTCTTTAAACTTGCAGAGTCTCCACTTTTAGAAAGATGACCTGTGCATTCCGCACACATGGCGTCTCCACTCGTGCAAAAAAAAGGTCACTTCCGCCGTCCGAGGCCTCCAAGGCAGCGGAGCTCGCCGGCTTGTCGCCGCCCGAGGCCGAGCAGGCCGATTCCGGCGGATCGAAGACGGTGTTTGTCGCGAACTGGCGATCGAATTCGGCGCGAATTGGGCGCTTTCTTGGGGCGATTGGCGCGAGCTAGAGAGTTGCACACTTGTTTGGTGCGTTCGGTTTGTTTGTGGTCTGAGACGCACAAAGTCATAGTCATGATGGTCGTATAATTGGATACGTACTCGTACTTAAAAGTCTGAAGTGGGCAGCCATTGACATCAAACCAAAAAGCTCGGTCCACTTGGAAGCTCCACCATCGGGGTGTTCAGCACTGGGTGGTGTTTGGAGCTGATTTTGTCGGAGAGCTTTTTCGGTTTCCAGGGGACCATTGGACCATGCCATTTTCATTTGCAGGGCGGTGCTTGGGCCATCTTGAAGGGGCCCGAGGGGCGTTGCGTGACCAGTTGTGGACACTCCAGAATTAGCCACTGGGAAGGTCAAACACACATTGGATGCAGTCAAGGTTCCTGCAAATGGTGTTTGTTGTTTGTGAAATATGTCGAGCCTGTCACCATGGATTAGATACATGGATAGGTCCGGCTCCAATGGCCAGCTTACGTTCAAACCTGTCCACGCGTCTGCCGGAGGCTGGCCTTCAGTCCGCGCGCCGGGCGGCGCAAAGGGCCCTGGAAGCGCAGAAGGCGCAGGTGGCCGAGGCCGCCAAGGCGGGTTTGGAGTGCGCTGTGGGGGTTCGTTGGGGGTCGAAGAGAGGGTGGGTAGGTCTCTAAGCGGAAGAGGATGGAGGGGTACGATGTTCGATTCACGGGATGGCCTTCTTGATGAATGTACATCCTTCAAAGTCTTTAGCCAAGGTACTTCCTCAGGATGCCTGCCCAAGCACAAGAGCTGGTTGTGGGGATGGTTTCCCTTCAAGTGTTGGCCTTGGTCGTGGGGATGCTTTCCGCCAAAGGAATACCTCAAAGCTTCGTTCTTTGTCCCATCCAGGGGTCGTGGAGGTGTGAAGGGTGCTGAAGGGTGCCATGGAACTGCTGAAGGCGGTCATTGAACAATTTTAGGGTTAAACAGTACTTCCAGTGATCCCCACCATTGCATTTTCAATCTGACAATAATTCTTTCTAGCATCTCTTCTGACATTCATTATGGCATGCTATTTGGCATATTTGCTGACTTTCTTTCTTGAATCTCTTCTGACATTCTATTTGGCATATCTTCTGACACTCCTTCTGGCATTCTATCTGGCATATCTGACTCGCGATTCAGGTCCGGCGCGGAACGCTGCCAGCCGAAGCTCGCGGTAGGCATGTGACATAAAATCTAGCAACCCTCACCTGGCAGGTGGAGAACAAAAAGTTTCACAGTGTGAACTTTCAGACACGGAAACTGTTTGGCACCCATCACTTAGAGGGCGGAGGTTGCTTCACCTCCCTGCGATCCGCCTCACGGGTCGGCACCATGTGGGGGTCGCAGCGTCCGCATCCTGAGCCGGGGTCGAGTCAGGTCCCGCCTTTCACCCCAAGCCGTGTGCAGCATTTACATGTGCTTAAGTGCTTAGAACGAAGTCTTTCATTGTTAACATTACATTGGGGAGGTTAATGCCAGTCCCATGGGTCCCGTCTAGAAAGACCTGACGTCCACGACGCGGGACAGGCAGCAGGAGGAGATCAGCGGGGGGAAGCGTTGCGGTGTTGGAGCCGGGCTGTTTTTTTTATGTTTTCGGCCCTATTGAGACTCGGATCTGGACCCTGAAAACAGCAGGAAAAAGGGAAATCCAAAATTGGTGTGGTGTTTTTTCTTTGAGGAAAACTCCCGGAAACACCGTTTTCCAGAGGGCCTTCTTGTGAGGCAGAAGGGTCCCGAACTGATCGGCCCTTAATTATAGACTTTCAGAATCGATTTTCAACCGCGAAATTTCTGAGGGTTCCATCCCTATAGGGATCCACATACCCTCTGAGAAGGTGATTGGAGACACTGTTATGTAGGTTTGGAGGGTCCAAGTACCTTCTGAGAAGGTATATATTTGGATCTCTAGGGCATGGGGAGTGGATTTGGTGAACGAGTTTCTCTTAGTACTCCAAGTCTTTGCATTGGGGTGCCCAATGCTCCGGTTTCTTGCTTCAGCGATGGGAAACACCTCCCTTGGTAGACGATACCTGATGACACCATTACTTGGTTGTGTTTCTGGCACGTTTAAGAAGTCTTTGTCAGTAAAGGGCCAGACCGTTACCTTGCCATGAACTCAACTGTATGTTCCAAATTGTTCCAGTGCGAAACATGTTTCACGGACCAAGTTTCCTGTTGAAAGAACACTGCCATGTCCAGATCTTATTTGGCCAGTCGTGTCGATGAACATTCCCATCATCCCCCCCACCAAACCGTTCTGAAAAAACAACTTGCGCTTTTGCCGGACGTTCCTTTTCTTTGGAACACATGGATCTCAAATAAGCCAGTCCATTTAAGAAGCTCTGTAAATCTGAGCGACTCCGGATTTCACAACCTCCACGACCCCCGGCGAGGAGGTGATCTTGCAGCCACCACCACTGCTGCCCAGACAGCAGCAGCGCAGCTGGGCTTGCCGCCGGAGCGCCGAGTCGGCGGCCCCGCGGTGGTTGGTGGTTGGGGCGGGCTTGGCGCAGGAAGAACTGCCACGAAGTGGCGGAAACCGGTTTCTCTGGATTTTCCATGAGTAGAAGGGAAAGAAAGGGAGTTGATCTGACTGAAACGTTGGCCAGGCCATGTGGATTCAGTGTTGTGACACACGTTTATGGCGTTCCATCATGTTTGCAAGAGCTGGCGTTCGCTCTTCTTTTGGCGAAGCGGTTACACCAAGGGGAGGAATCCGCGGTGCCAAAACCTTGGCAGGAGCAATCCGCAGAGCTGGCCGTTCAAGCAGCAGTCACTGGCGCTTTTGCAGTACCCTGGCTGTTGCCGATGGCGCCTGACAAGGAATCTACAGAATCCCTGCGACCCAAAGCAAGCCTTAGTGAGAGACCTAGGGGAGTTGCACGGAAGGTGAGGTTCGGGGGCCAATGGGTTTGACATGTTGGTTCAGATTTGTGAGAAAGAGGATCCATCCCGCATTTCCATCAGCAGATGCTTTAATCGGCAAACTTCTGCTGGCCACATTCGGATATATTTCTTGCATTCGATTCAGACCGCTCAGTAGTCAGACGCTCCAGTCCAGATACCCCGGCTTTGGGCGCTCCTTTGGCCTTGAATGGACGGGAAGAATCCCCCCTTGGGTGGCAGACACCTCTCGTAGCTCAAGTGGTCGCGTAAGATTGATTCCAACTCAGCAACACCTTCTGGACGTGATTCGATGAGCCATTTTGTCGCCCGCGGAGTGTGAGGGACAAGGAAGGGCTACCTCTTTGGGGGGCAAAGGAAGTGGACCTTGAACCAAACCAACGCGACAACTGCTTTCCAGCTTCTTCAAAGTGACCTTCTTGGGAGTCCCATATAGTGACCGTTTACAGATCTTTTCGTGATCTCAAGTCAATTTCGGATGTGTTCAGGTCACTTCGCAGAAGAAAAGCTCTGGGATTCTTTCGGGGCACCAGATGCCAAAATCGAATAAGATGGATACTCAATAAGATAGTGTATCATAGGATTATCCCATATTATGAATACGTATCATCAAACTATCTGGGACACCACCCACCGAATCACCATCTGATCTGTTTCGTTGCTCCTGTTCGTTGTTCGCGCGGCAACGAGGCTGCGATCTCCGCCGGAAAGACTTCGCTCGAGGCGGCCCAAGAGGCGGAGAGAACCACTCCTCGATCCGTCCCCCACGCGTAAATTCCACGCGGAAAGGGGCTTGAAGGATCCGAAAACTGATTCCAAAGAGCTTGGAAAGGGATATACTTTGGGAATTTCAAGAGCTTCAACTGATTTTACCCCAAACAGTACAGTATAGGTGTTATGGCCGGGTGTGTGATCGGAGGTTCACCCATCCGCGTCCAGCTAGTTCGCTATTTAGCGCATTTCGACTGCGCAGGCTCGCAGAATCTGGTGGGCTGGCGCGGGTGCTCTTCGAGACTGCGCTCTCGTTGTGGTATAATCATGAGGTTTCTGCGAGCAAGTCGCAGCAAGAAGTCTCATGAGAAGATTACAGTGATCTTTGAGTCGGTGGATGACCACGAGACACAGAGCACATCAGATGAATTGACGCCGCCACCATTGAGAGGAGTCAAGCATCATTCTTGTGATCAATCTCTTCATGCTCTTCCCGCCCACTGATGGTGTTGTATCTTATGTGTTCAATACTCTTCCTGCGAATCGCCTTGGCAGGGCTGCGTGATGTGAATCTTGACGTCGCAGATTTCGTTTCATGCGCAGTTGTGGACCTTCAAGTGCCGATTTTGTGACAGGCGCAGTACCTTGCAGATTTAGCGGCAGGCGCAGCGCTTTGTGAACCTTGAAGTGCAGATGTCGTGGCAGGCACAGTACTTAGCAGGGTAGCGTGTTTTGTGGGAACCGCAGCAAATGTTCATATCAGTGTCCTCTCGCGCCTGTGCCTATTATAATGTGCTTCCATATGCCGCCATCACACTACATGCATCATCATGCACAGACATGCATCATCCATGCATCATCAATCTAGAAATTTCCCGGTGTTTGGAACTGGTAAAAGTGGGTATACCGTCGGTCCGCAGGATTTTTGCTATGGGCATCCGATGTTTGAGGCAAAACCATAGCATGCTGCATGCCATGGTCATGTATACATGAATGTATAGACACTCCGTGATCGTGTTGCCGATCACTTGGGGTCGACAAGCTGGGGTGAATGGGGTGGGTCAATATGGCACTGTCAGACAGGTCGTGTCGAATGTCGACAGCGTCCACTTGCAGGCAGGCCACGCAGCCCAAGAAGCGGCCCGCCAGCTGCAGACCACCAAAGTTAGCGCAGCAGACGCTGCGATGTGAGTGATTGGTGGATTGGACGGGCGGCAAGGCCGGTATGGCCCGGAAGGAGCATCACAGTGTTCCGCTGTGTGGCCCTGATAACCCCGCAAGACATATATGAATTTTATAGATTATAAATATTTTTCGTAGCGTTGGCATTTCAACCTTATCATCTCCTAATCCTAGCAGTATACCTTTTGTTAGGCGAACATGTAGTTCCAGTCCCTGCAGTTCCGGGTATTTGTGGATGTAACTTTGCAACTTACAAAGGGTTTTGGAAGAGTGTTCTTTGTTGGGTTTCATGGGGTGCAACTAACCCTCGGGTTTGAGTTTGTACTTGCATACCATGTCTCTGATCTGAGGAAACTAGGGATATATAAAGGACTACATTCCCTAAAATAAATCGGATGACCATGAAATTATCCTTGAGGCAAAAACAGTTTAAAGGAGGTGGGACTGGGGTGGGTGCCAGTGTCCAGTCATACCGAACCTGAGGAATAGGGTAAATCATATATATCTCAACCCAAGAAGATGGAGGACCTGTGCATTTCGGGAGTTTCGACCCCAAGGACCTGGCCGCCGTTAGCTGCGGCGAGGCTGCCGCCAGGTCTGCGAAGGTTCCGACGGAGGCGAAGGGTTCGAAGGGTTCGGGGTGCCGGGGTGCAATTGCAGGATTCGGGGGTGATGCACCATCTCACTGTTGGTTGGATTTGTTTGTGTTTTGTTCCGTTTTTGCAGCTTGCCTGGTAGTTAACTCTGAATATTCTGAAGGAAGTAAAGGATCTGAAAGCGTTACTTTAGAGTGCCTTAGGAGCGGCTTGTAGGGACGAAGGGGCGAAGAGTGACAATCCGGTTCATCCACCGCAGTTCCTATACGCCAACACACAAAACAAAGAGAGACCCGGTATAGTACAAGGCGAAAGGTGGGGCCCCTTCCCCGCATCCGCTATAGGTGACTTGAGATATTATACACCCTCCAAAGCCGTCTACACGACTGATGGGACTGGCATATTCACATACATTGGGGTGGTTGAAAAGGGGTTCAATGAAGGTCGATGCCACTTCAGACAGGTCACTGTTTGGGAAACCAGATGGCCAAACGGTCACTGGTGGAGTGGTTCTGCGGAAAAAAACGAGTGTCCACGATGTTGGAGAGTTCCAAGTAGTCGAAATCATGTGGCGGAGACCTCTCAAAAGGTTCGGAGACCTCTCAAAAAGCTCCATGGAAGGTTCGGGGACGTCTCACGTCTTCTACCGGAGTCGACTCCGTCCGTTCCTCGAGTCCCCGAAGGGGCTCAACGGGTTCCCACTGGAAGCATTGGTTGAAACACTAAGGTTACAACTGGGAGGGGAAATACGTGGTGAAGATTTGGCCAAGGTTGGGCTATGTTGGGCTGCAGAAATTCGAACGAGGTTGCTATATGTTGCTATATTTTGGAGAAAGTGTTTTTGTCGCAACCTGCGACGAACCCGTTTCATCCCACTTGAAGGGTTCTTTTTGTGCGGCTTGGACCGCCGAGCTGGGAACACGGACATGTATTATGTATCATTGTGTACATTTACATGTGTCTCAATACCATTTTCAATGTGAATTCTACACCTACACCTTGTGATGGTCAAGATATGCTTGGCTGAGGGCTTTTGATTCACCATCCCTTATCCACTCCGCCAGCCGCCAGCGGTGCCAGGCGCCGGTCGAGGCCGCCCAAGCGGCGGAAGCCGCAGCGCGGGCGGCGGGGGCGGAAGAGGCAGGGGAGGAAGGGCCAGAGAGGGAGCCGTCCTTGCTCCTAGTAGCGATGGCAGGAGCCCCTAATAGCGTTCTTGTTCCAAGTAGTAAGGCCAGGAGCCCCTAGTAGCGTCCTTGCTCCTAGTAGCGATGGCCCCCCTAATAGCGTCTTGTTCCTAACAAGTGTTCTTTTCACCTTCAAACACATTCGAAAATTCAGTCCTGAAGTCCTGAAGACGGAACGTTGCAAAACCCAGGTGCTGAATGATAAACCTAGAATGGTGGAGCCAGCAAATGTTCACGGGTTGCTCACAGTTCCACGATGATGTCATCTTCGTGTTCTTCACCAATTGGTGACAAAAAATATACAAATCTCCATGTTTGGCAGGTCTACGGTGTGCTCACTCTGGAGAGGATCCACCCAACCCCCCGAGCTCCTCAGCTCCGGAGCTGGTGATGAATCACCGAAACCGCCGGTCGACGGTTTCCGATCCGCCGAGCCGATGGAAGAAGCGGAGGATGCTTCAGCGGCGAATTGGGGAAGAGGTAGGACTAGCAGCGGTTGGAATTCTGCACCCGAATCCGGATTCTCTTCATCCACTTCGCTTCTTGGAGCCGAGATCCCAGACAAAGAGGGAGCCAACTCCCACGGCGGGTGCCGCGGACGTGGTCACAAGCTGGTCAGCTGGAATAGGTCACTCTCATAGAGACTCCATTTCGGGTCAGAAACTGAAGCTGAAGTTCGAGGATGTTGGAGGGACTCTTCAGGGTCACGACCTCTTCAGCCGAATCCTGCAGAGATTAGGTCCTGTGTTGTTGTGCTGCCTGTGCGATCAGCAGCTGGTCCACTTCGTCAGGCCAAGGCTGTGGCTTTGGGCGCTGCAGCCGCACAGCGCGCCCAGGAGACACTCGGAGACACGTGTTGCGGACGAAGAGTTGGGGTGAGATAAGGGTGAACTTCCAGAGGGAGGAGAGGAAGTTTGCTGGATTGGCCACGGCCTTGATTTGCAAGGGTCTGGCTGGATTTGGTGGTAGATGTGGTTCCATTGGCCTCCGCACTGGCGATGGCGCGATCGATCGAAGCGTAAACCTGACTCGGTGCGTTCTCGGCGTCGGCAGCGGCAGCGGTAGGGTGTCGGTAATTCGCTTCGCAAGACTGGCAGGAAGTGTGCACACTGTGATGGGTAGGCTCACGTTGATGGGTAGGAGAAGCATTTTGGAGAAGTCAAAACAACATGAGATCTGTACTTGCTGTTTTGTGGTGTGCATCCCTAGTAAGAAGGAAAAAGCACGTTTGGCACCTACGTAGCCGACATGTTTGCGCCATCACTTGCCAGACCGTCAGCCGACGAACCCGGAACTTCGTGCAGTTCCGCCGTGGTTTCCGTCGGCTTTCTGCGTGGTTTCCGTCGGTTCCGTCGGTTCCATCGTTTGTTTCTGAGACGAAAACGAACGGAACGGTTTTTGGAGTGAAAGTGAAGACAAAGGGCAGGGGACCGATAGAGAAGCAACATGAAGCAACTATAGAAACAACATAAAAACACATAATATGAACAACAGGAGAATCTACACTCCCTGGAATCATCATTAAATTATATAAGTCAGAGACAAAACTATCGTCGAACCATGTATAGATATGATGTTTTAAACATGTTTTAACTGGGGTGTTGCATGCAGCCAGTATTTGTGTTTATGTTGTCCTCGAAAAACAATAGGGGACGTCCTAAAAACGATACCTCTAAGACTTGCAGCCAGTCGTTGCAGCCAGTGAGACGGGAAGGTCCTTAGAGAGTTGTCAGAGCTTGGAGCCGTTTGTTGGGCTGCACAGGGGTCTACTCAGCTTGACCTCGATCATGGGAAGAGCTAGGGAAACAGTGCGGATCCCTTATTGCTTCCATGTATGGGCCTTCCCAACGATACCTCACAATATCTCACAAGGTAAGTTTTCTCACAAATCACGACAAGATCCCACGCGTACACTTGGCTTGGTACTGCTTTGCTGCTCCTGCTGTTGCTGCCTGCTCTTGCTGCTGCTGCTGCTGCTGCTGCTGCTTGCTTTTGCTTGCTGCTTTGCTGCTGCTGGCTTGCTGCTGCTGCTGCTGTTGTTGCTTTATGTTACATGGTGTCATTTCCTGCTTGGAATGCCAAAAAGTTGTGGAAGGACCAAAACACTGAAAAACGACACGATACGGGACGTCCTAACTTGTCAACTCAAACACCACGGGACGCCGTAGCCACCTCGCGCAATCGAGTTCAGCACCTGGGACTGGTCGAACCGGATTTCGTGGTCATCCGCGTCTTCGGGAGGATTTTTCGGTGCGTGGATTTTTGGGTCATGAAATCCGATGGAATTATGATGAATTCCTGCACTATTTATTAGTTAGAACGAGTACAATCTATTCTTCAAGATTGGTAGATTTTTTCTTATTAGTTTACCAAATATATAGATTTTTGGGCGGACATGGGGTCGTAGTTTGGTAGAAACTCGGTCGGACTTTCGCCCCCCTTGTTTGGCGCTGGGTCGGAGTTTGATGGGAGTTTGGTGGGCCAATTTTGCAACCCTTCCAAGACTTTGTGACTCCAGGGTCAGAGTTTGGTCGGACTTTGGTCGGAGTTTGCTGAAAACCAGGTCTAGGAAATCGATAAATTTTTAGGACATCGCTAGATTTCTACGGAATAGCTTATAGACCAAAAATAGTCTAACTCAATCTATTGGGTTTCCAAATTCGGTGAGTCCAAGACCCTATATAAAACTTATAGCCTGGAAGTCAAAGACCATTTTTAAGATGGTCGATCTGGTTTCGTAGTGTAAAACCCTTAGTAAAACAATTGTTGTTTGGTAAAGGCTATCAAAACTAATGGTGGTTCGACTTCTAGGGTATAGTTCTTTGGAATCCAAATCAGACGTCAGAAACATAGAAGTTCCAGTTCCACTTCCAGTGAGGCGGAACCACCAACGTCACGCAACCGGACCACTGCGATCGATCTGGGATGAGTTCGACAGTTGTGGATACCAAAAGTCTAGGTCAAACATCTCTGGGACTCCAAACCTTGAACAAAAAGACCCTTTTCGGAGAGGGTAGAACTGAGCCTTCAAGAAGGAAAAAATAACTGAACATATCCTATAACACTATCCGAAAAGGGTCTTGAAGCCGATCAATGGATATGTTCAGATATTTGAAGCAGGATGACCCCTTTTCAATGGAATACTTCTTGAAGCTATTTGAGCCGATCCTATGGGAACGGCCTGAACGGCAGTGCCCTGCAGGAGCGCGCGCTCGCGAGCGCTGAGCAAGCGGCGCGGGGCGCTGCTGCGCAGGCGACGAAGGCGCCCGAGGAACAGTGCAGCTTGAGGGTGAAGTAGAGAATGAGGACACCAGAACTCTTTTTGTGTTGGGGGTGCCAACTCTCTACTAATGTCCTGTTTGTATGTGTTTTGCATGTGATTACTGGGGCAGAGTTGGTTGGAAGACCTAGGTATGGTGTGTGTAGACTCAGTGTAGGTTATCCATGGTGAACCTGTTTGATCTTGGGGGCGCAATTCGATTTGCTTGAAAGATCTTTGGGGTGCTCCGCTCCCTCCACCCCCGACTTTCGACGACTCTTTGGGGAGGCAACGCTGCAGGGCAGCGTTGTTTGTCGGAAAAGCTGAAAGGGACACATTTTAGTTGGATGGTGTTGGTTTTCCCTGTGCAGAACACATCTACGGTTTAAAGTTATTTATGTGCACTCTCCAATGTCAGGAAGAGACGGGACTAGTGTTCCGCCGTGCGGGTCAAGTTGTTTTAAGCACTGCGTGGCGCAGTGTGTCTGCATAAACTGGATTGCGCATATAATGACAAGTTTCTCCATGGAGAACATTTGCCAGCAAAGTTTCTCCAAAAGGAAAAGCAGATCATCAAAGTGAAGTTAGATCACGAGAACAATCAAACCTGATTCCGGGATATGGGATTCCACTCACCATGGAACTTGCGGACACATCAGCTGAACCAGCTTGCGCCGGAACAAAAGAAGGTATGTTACCACCCGCAGTACAGTGTTGAGTACATAGAGTGAGACGATGAACAAGCAACAGTTCACTTGACAGGGGTTGAGCCACCAGTAGACGATGAACATGCGAAAATGCTAACGGAACCACGAGGAGGGGGGTTTAGCCACTAGTCTAGACTCTGATGTCAAGACATATTCCTTGACTGCTCAGGAAGGACATTTGTATGGAGCCGGTTGAGGGAAGGCAGGTCACTCTGGATGTAGAACAAGTAATGTAGAATGTAGACTCTTGATGAATAACCCCCCCTGTGAAGAGGATGTTCCACTTCAACTGGGTGGGTCTATTAATCAAGAGACTACAGTGACGATACAGTATGTAAGGTTTTGGGGCGGTTGGAGGTGGTTTGTGTAGCACGACGTGACTTGTTGCCCGACGTGACGGCGGTTCTTCACTCTTTCGTTCGCTTTTTGCCTTCACCCTCGGTCCGTGTCATCCGGCCAGGGGTGGTTGAAAAGGGGTCAATTGATCGGCATATATTGGCAGTCCCATGGAGTCTGTGGGATAGAGGAGCAATGATGACCTATGATGATTAACCGCATTGAGAGGTTGAACTGTCCAGCCAATCGGGCTTTTCTCTCACCGTTTGGGTTTTATTGAGAAGTGTTTGGGCCTGCAATTCCACCCCGGGCGGGCGGAATAAAAGCAGATCCAGCTACCAGGGCTCATTAAGGGGGTGTCTATAGCCCCTTTGAGGTAAGGGGTGTCCATTAACCACCCCTTAGGGTCCTGGTACTTGATGAAACATTGAGTGGACATGTTAGCCATATTACGGAGCCCCGATCATCGCAGAGCTTGTTGCCGCCGAGCGTGTTGGTTTCTTCAAGATGCTTCGAGTGATCGGATCGGTCCAACGGGGGCCAAGAGAAAACAAAGCCACATGAGAAGGTGAAACACAATAACCCTGATCCACCTATTTAAACACACCCGGGCCCACCCCTATTAAGAGAAACTCGGGATTAGCTAGTTTATACCATGTGTACCCGGCAGTTTGGACCACCAAATCACCGGCAGTGGGTGAATTTGGGGTGACGCAGAATTCAGCAGTCGATGACTGTCAGCACCGTTCATGAGGCCCATTGCTTTTGCCTCCAAACAAAACAGGAAGTGTTTGGGACCTGCGTTGGTCTTCTGTTTGGTCCCAACAGCTAAAGAGACCAACCCAGGTCCCAAGGAAGTGTGTATTCAACTTCCACAAGAAGTGGCGGGGTGTTTGTAGCCACCATCCCTGCCTGCTGTATAGGCGGCGGTCCATGCTGGGAATCTTCAGCAAGCATCAGAGGTCGTGCCGCGGCTGCACGCGGAGCTTGAAACGGTTCAACCACCCCTGGCCTTTTCTCGGCAAAAAAGGCAGTCCCAGACAGGTCCTGTTTGGGAAGTGCTTCAATATTCAAGTCCAACGTAGCGACATAGCTGACTGTTTCTCAACTCTGTGGCGCGCCCCCTCAGAACAGAAAAGAGGCAAGACATACCCTGATGGACCATGGAGAGTTGTTCAATAATTCCATGTCAACAGGCAAGACATCAGAAATGCTTACTTTCCAAAAAAGAAAGGACCACTTCAGATCAACATGACCACTGAGACGGACCATCAAACCCGACGACGGTCCACACGTTTCACCGGTGACACGCCCGTGGAGCCGCACCGGGGAGCTCGAGGCCGCCCAAGCGGCGCAAGAGGCGGCGGTGGCTGAAGGAATGGACCCACAACAGGTGGGGTGGGGAATGCGATCGTTGAGAGGGTGTGGAGATGGAATGATATTGGAATGATGTGTTGTTTGATGTTGTTTTGTTATTTGAATTTGAAGGGGAAATAATTAAAGGAGTTTGAGGGCTAAAGATGGGTTATATAAGATGTGATTCAAGTGCTTCCGGGGTGGTTCACAGCGGTAGCGATGTTGATTTTTGATTTTGAGTGAAGTGTTTGGTCTCAAAGCAGCCAGTGGAGACACTGAAAAGCTTTTGGGGTGTACCAAAAAGCATCCTCCTGACTCACGGCAGTGCATCACTTGGCACTGTGTGTCCATCACCCACTGTGCTCCTGCAAACCCTTTCAACTTGAAGTTGTTTGGTGATTAGTCAGTTTTGTTGGTTCAAACGATTGTGGACATCAATTTTGGAGCAACCGTCAGTGTTTTTAAACAAGATCAACTTAAAAGTGTCACATATAGCCTCAAAGAATCCATACATGGAACCCCTCAAACGCTGACCCAACTCCAGGCCGACCGCGCCCTTCGGCTCGGCCGAACCCCAGGCCGCCCAGCTCTCCGCTTTGGCGGCGGGGCAGGCCGCAGCCGAAGTGGCGCAGGCGAGGAAGCACGGACGGTGACCGTCCGACGGTACTGGGCGCTGCGCGCCACAGCGGTGCACGAGAAGCAGAGACAGGAGTGGGACCAACTGAAACAAACATCAGTGAATAAGACGATAAGCAAGAAATATAAATGGTTTGTTGCTCTCTTGAGGTGTTTTTGGTTTTTTTTGCTGCTGGCGAAATCGCCAAAAGCTGTGAACGTTTTGATCGAAGGTGGATGGGATGTGTCATGTTCAACGGGTGCAAGACTAAAACCACCGGTGGTGCGGAGCTACCCCCCAAAACAGGGCCCACCCCTCACGGCAAGCCAACGTCCGGTCCATGTGGTTTGGTGGCCTCGCCGGGGTGGGGAGAAGGGATCCAAAGTTTGGCTGACGCCCAACCCAGAATTCGCAGGAGCCAGTGATGTTGGCCGTTGGACCTGAAGAGAGAAGGGGTGAAAGAACCGCTGGATGTTCTACGCAACGCTTCGCTGGGACGTCGACCCATCGACCGCCGTCTCTCCGCCAGATCACTCGAGATCCCGTGCGAGACGCTGCGGTGGAGGCCAGCCGTGCGGTCACCAGGCGGCACGGTGCGGTCGAACGAAGCAGGTCCGGGGAGGCGAAGAAATCGGACAGTTGCATATATAGCTTAGCTAATATAATATAATATAGCTATATAGCTGGTGGCTTGGAGAGAGCAGAGCGAGGGCAGCCGCAAGTTCCATCTTCCCCCAAAGACGGAAAACAAGGAGCTAGAGGGGCGTCCGTAACCTTGCGCTAGAATACAACGGCCTTTTTCACGAGATAGCTGATGTAATTGTATGAATTGTTCTGTGCTTGAAACATCTTGAAACAATTGTTTAGGAAAAGAATCTTTGATGAAGGGCAAGGAAAAATGAAGGCTCATGGAGGGGCCTCGTGGAAGTGACTGGTTTGTTTGCTATATAGTCTTGTTCCGCGTTCATTGCCTTCAACGAATATCCAGCTTCATCAAGCACACTGGGATGGGAACGTCCACGGAACGGAAGTTCCAATTCCAACAAGGGCGGGCGACAAGAGAAGGTACATGACACTAACAATGTATACCAATGGTCTAGTCTAAAACTATGGCCTTCTGTAGTATGTGTGTACGTGTTTTTTCGTCCAAAGCCACACCTTTTTTGTTTGTTACTTTCTGTGTTTGAACCATCCTTTGGGCATGTAGGCCTTGGTTTATACGGCTTAAAGGATCCGTATCTGGTTGGACACGCATGATGTCCATCCTGCTGGCCCTGGCCTGGCTGTGGGTCAAGACCCTTCCCCAAACCAGGGTAGGTTGACCTAGGTAGCTGTTCATTCTGTTCATTTTGGCTGGTCAACCCAGGTAGCCCGGTTTTGACCCACAGCCATGCATATTGTTTTGTGCCAATCCCCCAAGGTTTTTCACCGCTTTTGTTCTCTCCCTGTGGATTCCAGGCAGTTCCCACGGAAGAACCGCAGGTGGACCCGAGTCCACCTGCTTCTCTCGTTCGACCCTGAACCGAGGGCCGACTCGTTTGGTTCGGCGGGTTCGGTGGTCCCAGTGGATGTCATTCTGAAGCCCTTTCCAAGTCACCCAAATCCCCCAAACCTCCTGGCCTACCTCCGTCTCGAAGGTGGTGGGGGTGCGTGTTTTGGGGTCTAACCATCTGAGGATGTGGCGGTTGGAGTGGTTGGAGCCCTAGGGAAAAGTCGTTTCAACGCCGGAAGCATCAAGCCACCGCCTGAACGGCGTGAGAGCTGAGGCAACGAAGACCGCTGAAGTAGCCCAGCTGCCCAAAGAGCAAGTGGGTGAAGCAGCCAAAGAGGCGCCCCATCACTGGGCCAGTGGTTCAAAGGGTGGTGCGAAATCGGATGTTTCAAGATTCTTCTGCTTCGGACGCCAAGGGTGTCCAATGGCCCTCAGAATGGCTTGGTTTCGGTCCTCCTGAATTGGTATCGAAATGTTTCGATCAACCAAGAAACATTCAGTGGTTGAATGTTTTCCTTGGTGCACAACATGTTTCACCTTTTTCAACGGACAGGCAGCCAGCAATGCGGCTGTGGAAGCCGCCATTGCTGCAGGTTCGGCTGAGGGAACAGGGCCCACATGTCATACCATGTCATACCGGACCCTTCAAAGTGACCATCCTTGAGATCCTTTACTTATATAAATCCCCAAAGAGGTGAGACTCCAAACGGGCCGAATGGCCTTTTGCATGCTGAATTCACATTGAATTCCCCGTAGAGTCGAAGGCTTGAGAGCTTCACGCAACTGCGAGGTCGAGCTGCATTGCCATATATGCATAGCATTGCACAGGTTTCTCGATAATTTTGGCATGAGGGTCACTGCATGTATTTCCAACCGGCGTCACCCAGTCATGTTCGATCTTATGTGCAAACCTGGGGCGATGAAAGAGAGGTTCAAGAAACTGTCATATAGAGTCCAAATAAGCTGACAGCTTCAAGCCATGGATCAAGGTAAACACCTCAGCCATCGTCGCCTTTTGTATGTGAAATTTGACTGAACTCCCATGGATTTACGATATATTCTTACCCAGACGCTCCATGGATGATCTTCAACAGCCATGTCTTTGCTACTTGGTGACCAAGCGTTGCTCGCACGCCTGCGAAATCGGTGATCGCGTGCTTCGATCTTGGCCGAGTGATGCGGTCACCTACCACCGGTACGGCAAGGTTTTGCGGTTTCACCTCAGCTTTGACCGCCGGACCTGGAAACCGATGTTGCTCGCTTGGACGGACGCCCAAAACACACATGGGACACCGATGTTCCCACGACTGACGCGCCAGACTGTGGGGTTCTCCGCGTTCGCCGTGCCGCGTGTTCGCACGAACGCCGGACTGGTGGCGCCTTGACCTTCCAGGTGTCTCGGCTGAGAAGGCCGCGGAAGAAGCGGGCAAGGCACGCCAGTCCAATGGCCCCATGAAGCCGACGAAAGCGGAAGCGGGCTTCTTCGTGGGCAACTCTGCATCCAGCTTTTCCCTAGCAAAAAAACATGGTTTTGGTACATTTGAAACTGTGAAAACCTTTTGTTTTTTCCAGGTTTTGAGGGCCCCTGGTAGTGACTAGTGGCCTGTACGGATACCTTTGCGTGGACTGATCATGTACTGGTCAATGACCTCATTGTACAGAGTTCGTCATACAAAAACACTACTGAAGGAGGTAAAAGACCAAGTTCTACTGAGTCTTTGGACTCGTATGGATATGATGCAATCTTAATCCAAGTCTACCCTTGGATAGATGGTAGATCCCTTGCCGTGAACGGCCTAACTCTCTGGTGACACGGAGCGTATGCGTGTTCTTCATGACAGTCTCGCCCCTTTGGAGGCGTGTCAGTCTCGTGGTTCACGAGTCAGGAAAGGTCTTGAGGCTTGAGGATTGGCACCAAGCCAGAAGCTTTGAGAAGAAAGGAGCGACAAAGACCACATGAAGGACCATTGTCCAAGATAGGGCCGTCGACCGACCGTCGAGAGACTTTTGCTGTCGACACGAGAGCAGACCGCAAGGTGTGGAGTTTGGACTATATATGTGGACTTGGTGTTTCACATCCACAAAAAGCTCAAGAACACACCAGAACTGCATTCATGTGTTGGGTTTGCCCGTGGCCATCTCCTTGGCCACCGCCACCCGCGGTGGCCGAGCTGTGGATCAATGGCCCGCGCCAGGCGGTGGCTGAGGCAGCTCGCCAAGTGGGCCTTTCCGAGCAGCGACCCGGACGGAAAACGGCGACGGTGACACACCGGTTTGGAAGACACGGTATGCTTTGGCACGGTCTGCTGAAGAGATAGATGTGATGGTGCGTTGGCATGGGCCAGGCTGCATTGACACCCTCGGCCCCCGCAGTGTTTTGAAGACGAACCGCGATGAACCGCGCCGGACTCATGCTTTCCCGGCGAAGCACCAAAACCTGTGATTAGAGCAGCAAAGTGGGTGTTTCGGTCGTGGTTGGATAGGAAGCGGGCAGTCGCATCCCCGAACTGCCGCCAAAGTTCAAGGAGCTACCAGAGGTTTTGACCGCACCTCAACAAGTTCATGTTTGAACTTTTTGACTCACAGACGAGGTTTTGCCTTTCGATTCACAGAGGTTCACTCACGTATACTCATGTTAATTCACAGAGGTTTTGCCTTTAGACTCTGTGACGAAACCGAATCATTTTGCCATTGCAACCGACAGGGGTGTTGGATCTTGCCGCGACAGGTGGGCCCCTGCAAAAAAGAGGTGTGGGCTCAGTTTGTGCTTCCACAGCAAGTACGTGAACATAGGATCGATATCCCAGACACCGTGCCTTACCTTGACCCATGTTTGAAACCACCACAACTGATCAGTCAATATGCCAGTTTGATGGATGGTTTGGGTATTGTCTTATCTGCGTTTGTACAACCAGCTCGCTGACCTCAGGGACGCTGGCCGCCTAGCTGCAGCTGCTGCTGGGCAGGCGCTTCCACTGCTGTATTTGGTTTGGGACGGAAAGTCCATCCCAGGCAACAGACCTCTTCTGCCCTTGGGTTGATTCTCCATTGAGGGTTTCAAGCAGGCGAAACGGAAGAACGACAAGAGATCCCACACGATGCCACGACGCGATGCTAACTACGGTGTTCGCAGCAATTTCACCCCACCGCGCAGATGGCGGTGTGTTGCTAGAAAAACCTCCAGACTCTTCAGAATGTTCTAAGGATGTTTGGCTCACAGGGTGATTTTCCAGAACAGCCATGAAGGGAGCATCAATCCTTTCGCGCCCTCAACACACCTCGAAGGCTGCGCAGAGCATGGCCGGCAACAGCGCGGTGGCCGCTGCAGCCGCGGCGGCCGCTGGGGCGGCGGCCGGACTGAAGCAGGTGCACCAGGGCAACGGGTGCGGTTTGACGTATTTTATTTTGAAGTAGGGGGGCAAAGGAACTTCATGGCACCAGGCTGGAAACATTTGTGGGAGTCTGTACGTTTTAGAGTCCACATGTAATGGAGAAGGATGTTAAGCTCGTATATTAAATTTGTTATTTATCTTTACATACCCTGGGTTCAGAAACTTGGGAGATCCTGGCAGGTGATTTTCAAGTTGTCTCAGCAAGCTGGGTCCAGAAATCGGCAGAAGGGAGAACACACTTACTTCCTATACCATAGACGCCACGTGATCCAAATCTGCGGAGATTGATGTGAAGAAACGACGCGGTTCGACACGTTTTTCGTCGATGAAACGACACGTGAAGAGATAGGAGGGTCACAGGGGGTCCCCAATGCGGATGACACCGCTGGGCGAAGCCACGATGACGAGTTGGGGCAGGTCCGCACCACGAGCTGCGACTTGAAAGGTTAAGAACTTGAAACCGCAAGAGAAACAAGAAGCGGTGCGACGTTCGCGGCGTGTCCGAAGACTGCGTTTTGAAGCGATCAAGTGATACTCCCCAAAGGATTGCAGCCGTTGCACCGAATTCTGTGCCTATTCCCCCAAAGCATGCGGAGCTATCACTCCAGGAGCATGCAGCTGAAGCTGCAGTCCAGGCAGCGGCACGCGCGGCTGCAGCAACAGGTGACACTCGGGCACCTCGGCGCATGTTCGGTCGCAGCTGCAGCAGCTGGGGTGGTGGACGAGTGGTGGAGGTGGACCCATGTCGGTGGAGGAGGTCGGTGCAAGCCTGGTTGGGTGGCGAAGTTGGGTGTGAAGCTATGCGAAGTCGAAGTCAGCGCTGGAGTTGGGGGCTGTCCGACCGGCACTTTCAACGGACGTTCATCTGCTCATCGATGGTTTTCCTTAGCTTGTAGTTGCAGGCATCCACCACACCATCGTTTTTCAGAGGCCAAGCATGGCGAAGTGATGATGTTGAACTGAGACATGTGTTTACCTATTTTTACCTTCTCTTGTGGTTGGCCAGTTCAAACGGACGGCGCCGGGATTTGGGTGTTTTCAGGCACAAGAAATCCTTCCGATTGATCTTGCGTGGCACAAGAAAGTGTTGCTGGGAAGAGAAGGCTCATGGTACATCCTGGATGTTGGTCGATGTAGGGAATTGCCTTGACACCCCTTTGGCACTCCTCCTCAAGTATACAGTATACATCAGTATATGGTAATTCATCCACTAGACTAGCTAGACAGTTCAGAAGCAGACGTTTTGCTCATCCAGGTTCATGTTGCTTCAAGATGTGTTTGCACCGCCCAACCCCACGAAACCAGGACCCACCGACGAAACCAGGCTTCATCACCCCACGTCCATCCGTGTGGAGCGCCAACGGACCGAAGGATCCGCTCGAGGCGGCCTTGTTGGCCGGCAAGGCAGCGCAACGCGCGGCGCTGGCGCAGGTGGGGCTGGCGGCGACCGGGGTGACCGGGGGTTGGGATGGGAGATGATGGGAGGAGCGAGTTTTTGGTTTCGTGGTGCAGGACTTCCCCGGGCTCGTTGGAATCCGCTAAGGACGTGGTCGATGTTTGCAGTTCAAATCGAAATACCTTCTCAGAAGGTACATGGACCCTGGCACCTACTGTACATCAACCCGTCTCCAATCACCCTCTCAAAGGGGCGGCAGATCCCGGAGGTTTACCACCTCCGGTCGCCTCGCAACTTCGTACCGTCCTCTCTCGGTACGCGGTACGGATGCGTCCCGCACCGTCGTCGTCCTTAGTACTGTACATCACTACGTACCATTGGTCAGTGAACCAAAAGGCGTGAGGCCAGATTTCTAGGATCCACCTGTACCTTCGAAGGTACTTGTTGGGCCCTCCTGGCGCCTACATAAACACCTTAAGAGAAGGTATACTTGGATCCCTAGGGGATGTCCAGGTGCGGCAGTTTGTGGGAGTTTTATTTGGAGACGGAGACGGAGACGGATGGTGAGCTGTTCGATTCTTGTTTTCGACGGAGTATATTCCACATACAGGTGGGAAGTGCGAAGCAAGAGCTGCCAGAGACTTCGTGGAGAACAGGGAAATACAGGGACGATATCAATGACCCTACAAGTAAATCAAAGACCTGCAAACTACCTCATATTACGATGTTACTCATGGCTGCGTTTATTCATGTGCTGTTTTGAGGCCGGGATAAGTTATACAATCTAAACTGGGCCCCCTGTTTGGGGTGTCTCTTAATAACAATTTGATAACATTTATAGTAACCCTTTATAGCTGTGCTGAACTGCTACCTCCATTTACCTCCATTTGCCATCATCGATTACACACAAGTAGGAGTACTAGATAGTAGTAGCAAACATTAGTCTAATCTCCTCGAACAGTATCCCAAAAAATCAGACAGTTTTGAAGTTGCCACTATGCAAAGAAGCATCTACTCCAAGCCTCAATGTTTCGAAAAGGTGTCTTTTTTCCAATCTATTCCACACCCTCCACACCTGTGCAGGGCTTGGTCGCTGAGAAGGCAGCCATGGAAGCAGCTCAGGCCGGGACTGCCACATGAGGAGCATGAGAAGGGGATGATTTGGACCCAAAGCTGGCTTCTTCGATGAAGCGTCGCACTCTCTCATGCACTCTCTTAGCGATTTTTCTCACCCTCCCGTCCATGTATTTTGATATATACACAATTTGTTGGATATGCTGAGAACTTTTGATGGAGGGTTTGGGCAGTTGCAATGCCAGCAAATTCTCTAGGATATTTAGGTGTGGAATTCGATTGGATCCACTCCTGACATTGACGCGTCAATCCTCACATTCAGCTAGTGGATACGTAGCGGAACTGAAGCTCCTTTTGGTTCTTCCTTCGGTTCTTCAAACTCTCGTGGTTGCCTTGTCTCCGAGTATGTAGGCCCTGGTTTCAGACCCGAACCGAACGCATTATGGTTCTGAGATGTTGCCGGGCACTGGGGGACCGGGGGCGATGGCGTGCTTCATGCCTCATGCGAACTGAACTGACCTGAACTCTACTTAGAGTTGAAGTATCATGTTAGTCTAATTTAGTCTACTTGATCGGCATTGGTTTGGTAAAGTTGCGCTCCAAAAACAGACGATCACAAGCGTGTGGACACGCTCAGTGATGCTGGAGAGTGATTTAAAGATCTTTTATCCATTGCGTTGGCAGAAGCGGGTTGTGACTTTTGCGCGAAGACACGAAGACACGAAGACACGCGAAGACACGAAGACACGAAGACACGCGAAGACACGAAGACCCGAAGACACGAAGACAAGCGAAGACACGAAGACACGCGAAGACACGAAGACACGCGAAGACACGAAGACACGCGGAGACACGAAGAGGCTTCAGGTCTTCAAGGCTTCAGGTCGTCACCAGGCTTCAGGTCTTCAAGGCTTCAGGTCGTCACTAGGCTTCAGGTCGTCAGCAGGGTTTCAAGGCTTCATGTCTTCAGAGGAAAGTCACCCGGGATTGCCAACACACTGCTTTTATCCTCGTTGCCACTTCCACTATGAAATGCAGGGGCCTTAAGACCCCCAATAAAAACACATGTGTAGTAAAATCTGTTTTGGAGCATGTCCGAGCATTTTGTAGGGACCCATGTTGTAGTGGAAATGCGTGATCTGGAGGGGTCTGGAAGGCATTTTGTACTGTATGACAGGACTTCTGAGCTCAAGCACAGGTATGCACCCCATTCTGGTAGTAAAATCCATTGGTTTTGACAAGCTTCAAGTGCTGAGGTATGGACCCCATTTTGTAGATGTTTTGGTTTAAAAAGAGCGCCTGATAGAAAGCTGCACAAGATGATACGTTTCACGCAGCTCTGGCTTGAGAGAAAAGAAGACATACAACGACACTCGTGTGTGTGTGTGT